AAAAAAAAACAACAAAAACAAAGGTGTGTTTGAAGAGATCTGAAAAATCTTCTCTCCCCCGGTCGAGAAACCAGACTTTTTTTCTTTCAACCACAAAGTGACGTGCAGCGTCATCTATCCCCTCATCACTGTCAGCAGTTAAGCCCGTGAAACACATCAAAGCACGTCGTTCGGCAAAGCCCAGCCTTCAACACACTCGGTCAGTGTTTTCAACCCTAATCTCCTCTCATTACGGTTGTGATGGCCATGAACATCACAGGAGCTGACGGTTTTTTCATTTTTAACCTGACTGTGCTCTTAAACTGAAAGCCAACAGTTTTTATTGTTCGATACAAATCAGCGCTGCTTAAATAAGAATCTGGATGTGCGTAGAGCCGATACCAGAGGACCAGGATCAAACCAAGGGGTCTTTTGCTTTTTAGGTATCTGTATAAACCACATACAAAAATTCATATTTACACATCTTATGGCCACATTAGACCAAATCTACAAGCTGCAATTCTAGTGTTTAATTCAACCTACTTATAACCTTGTTCTCACAATATGATGTAGCGGTTTGGTGACTAATGGTGGATGGTAAATTTTTAAGTCCCTCCAATGACTTTTCTCTTTATTTATATTAATACTTGCAGCTCTCAATATAACCACTCCTTAGTGCTGGTGGCTGTTTTTCACCTACGTGTGTGTTTTCAGCTAACAGCTTCACTACTGAAGTTTCAAAAGTCAAAAGCTTGCTGTGAGTCATGCGTCTACTGCCCAACGCCATAAAGGCGTGTTTACATTTTCCTAAATGCTTTCAATAAATAATGGATAATGACCTTGTTCACGCTTTTCTACCAGCGCTGGGGTGGAAATGTGCACGGGTAGATTTCAGAGAGGAGTTAATGGCATGCAAAAATGGCTATTCCAACAAAAGTTGGAATAATATGCCATCGTGTCAAAGTCAGCCTCGTCCGTCCCAGTGTGTTCAGTGCCAGATCGCAAAATGACATGCCACCCTTTACTCTCTACGGCAGTAGTGCAAATCAGACCGAGTCGATCACTAAAGTATACACATACAGTAACAAAACCACGAGAACACATACACAGAAGAGAGAGAGGAAAAGTGAGGGGGGGGAGAGGGGGAAGGCAGGTGAGAGGATGAAAGGAGATAAAAACAGAGGGAGGTGATTGCAAGATGGCTTTTTGTTGTTTTGTTTCCGAGTTGGGCATGGATAAACATCAGCGTCTGAGGTTTCTTTGGTAGAACAGTCAGGTGGTTTATGTTCATTTTCTCCAAAGTGTTTCTCGCTCATCTTTCCTTTGAAACGTCGGGCATCGCATAACGCAGAAGCAAGTACACAAAACTACCGTTAAAGAAAAATAACAACAAAGAAGAAAAGAAAAAAAAATTAATAATTAAAACACCTCCTTTTCCGTTCTCTCCGTATTTACATATAACTACAGACACTTGCTCAGCTCCAAGCTTGACATGCAGGATGATGTATGACTGGAAGGAGCAAGCTCATGCTCCACCTAAGCTCCAGGCTAAACCCTCATCACTCATTACTGATTGTCTGGCATTAGCATACCAGAGGACAGATGGGAAAAATGACTGTGTTGTTATTGCTCGATTGATCCTCTATGAGTGCACAGTGAGAGAGCGGGCTTGAGGGTTTTAGATATTTTTAGCAGACCAGCAGACAAGCATTCCCTCTGGGATGCTGGTGACAGACCAAAGTGATGGGGGCATGGATGTTAGAGCCAGGATAAGGATCGGGAAAACTGGGGTCTATCCACCCCCTTCAGGAGACGACAGAAGGGGAGTGGTTGTGATTGACCATGCGACTGTCAGGGGAGGAGTTTGGGCTGCTGCCAGATGACGAGGGACTCCCTTTGTTTTTGATCTGCAGCCAGGTTTCGCCGAGCGCCTTGGCAAAGTGGTCATCCACTGAGCCCGTGATGGACACCGAGTTGGTGGCGGTGGGCTCGGGCTCCTTGTAGTTTTTCCCAAGGCTGCGACGGAAATGTTCCTCAATCACAGGGTCGCACACTGTGTTGGCTTATGCAAGAAGAAGAGAAAAAAAGGGTTTTAGTTACAATATTAGTTAAAAAAACAACAAAAAAAACTAAAATACAAAGAAATGGTCAGCAGGCAATTTGTTTTAATGTGCATGCGAGTTTACTTTTTTATTGCAGGTTTTCTTTTTAAATCAACATTTTAAACTTCACTGTTAACCTCAATGAGATCATAGAGATTTCACTGGGATCATAAAAACCCACAGAAAACATGAAGGAAAAAGAAAACAAATGTTTTATTGGCCAAGGCCTCGAGTGACTCTGTGGGTACAGAGATAACAGATAAGATTGTAATTAAGTATGTTTAAACGCTATCATAACAACGGTTTCGCTATAAAAACAGAAGAACCCTAGCATTACTAGCATTACTACAATACATTTACATCTGAACGTGGAGAGTATGAGCTGTTTTCTCTCTGGGGTGCGCATTGCTGTTGCAAATGGATTTGCAAACGTGTACTCACTGTTGCTTCTCCTGTAGTTATTGGTGAAGTTGGAGCAGCCGTTGTGGGAGACTGTACAGTGAGACAGGTTGCAGTTGCGGTTGTTTGCTGGGGCGCATGTGATCACTGAGGGACGATTCTGAAACACAAAGAGTCTGTGTTAAATGTCGAATTCAGTCTTATGATTGCCGATCAGCAATTTGCTAAAGCGTGTTAAAAGAAGCAGAGTGAATGCAAAATGAACAGAACAGCAACTTTTCAGAAAAGATGGAGAAAATGAAAAGACGTTTCAAGTTTGAGGCAGCAGGAATGATCCAGTGACCACCAGGATTTTAAAACATGGTTTGCAAACAAGCCAAATAGGAAATGTGTACTTTCCACCAACCAAGGAGGCAGGTTAATGAAAGCATATTAGTCACATCATGTCGGGGACCTACCAGAGTTGAGGTTTCACTCGACAATTTAAGAAAAATGTGGTGCGCATTAGAGCCAAAGACAGGACGGGTATGTTACCTGCTGGCGTTCCACAGTGCTGACTGTGTGCAGCACTGTAGCCATAGCTGCTGTGTTGCTGCGTGCTGACTCCACCATGCTGTTTTTGGTAAGTGCCAGTGGCTGGTCCATGGTAGCTAAGCTGGCCAGGTGGAGGTGATGGGGGTGGCTGTACATGTGGTTGCTCGGCACTCCCAGAGCACCCGGCACCAACACACGTTCGATGGGGCTCCTGCTGCGGTCCTTGGAGCCAGGAGAGCTGCGATAATCTCCATTAGGTTTCCTGAGGAACAGCCAAGTAGCCAAAAAACAAACGCACGTTATTCATCCTGCACACTGGATAGTGTTATTTAAATTATGTGTATTCTGAGTCTGCTAGCACTAAATTGACTCTGAAGCCAGTATCATAATTAAAATGATAAGAGAAGACATTTGGAGCTTAAACATAACGATCCAAGGTTATCAAAAACACAATATTTGGTGTTTGGGATGAGATGAAAAGTAAACATGACGTGCAAAGAGTGTTGACAAACGATGTAAGGAATGGGCAAAGAAAAAAAAGCCAAGAAGTAAAGAGACAGAAAGATCACAAGGAGTTCAGCTAAGACAGGGAGAATGTGACGTGGGGGGAAAAAATAAAGATTATAAAAGGACAATTGTAAATGGTGCTCTGTGTCAGCAGGAACGGCAAAAGCTATTAATACTGGTCTAACAAATACACACTCTCATGGACACACAGCCTTAGCTCTCAGATTGCTGGTGGGGTTTGATAAGACCATATGGTGCCAACACAGGCTCACACACTGTCCTCAGATGGAGGAAGGAACACTCTCCTAACTTTATCCAACATGGATAGACTCCAAACTTATCTCGACACAGGAGGGACAAATGGGCACAAAGTTCAAAGCTCTTGAGAGGTTTCCCCAGCAAAGCAAATCAACTTCATCTCTTCGGCAAGCTGCACTTACTGTAGTCATAATTAAAAAAAGAAAAGAAAACTACTAACGGAGCATAGATGCAGGCTGATGTCACTCAACATTCAATTAAAGTCACTAAACATCCTTTCTTTGAGTTTTATTCCCTGTCCACACTTACAACAATGAAGTGATTAATGGAGGTAAAAGGAGGTTAGCCATGCACCTTCCATATGAAAGGGAATTATTTAGCAGCACTGTTATCACCAAGCAGTGAGCTCATATTTTAATCACTGCAAAACAGATAAGGATAAGGGATTAAAGTAACAACAGTTTAAGAAAACAGGCTTTCTTCCAGCTCTGACGATAATGATTGTGATATGTCTGATGTAAACAAGTGTCTGCGACTAAAGACCATTGAGTTCTAGTTTAACAAGTTAGTAATTGTTTTGGTCCCTACATCAGATTTGCTCTGTGTTTTTTTTTTTTTGTGTTTGTGGGTGTGTGTCCGTGTGTGCGCTTCACTCCCCTCTTACAAACTGAGGCCCAGCTACAGGGAGCAAGATTTACTGTACTCGCCTCTGTCTCTCCTTTTCTCCCCAACTCCATAATCCATTCACAGATAGCGACATCGACTTGCTCATTCCTACACAGAATATGCTACACACAAACCATGCAGGCTTGATTAAATTTGCAAGAAATAATACTGAACTCAAGCGAACATCGATTATTATATATAACTTCTTCATTCTCCACCGAATACTATGCAGGGGCATTTCCTAACCCACACAAGTTAAAAGGCTGCAGGAGCCCTTTAAGTTGCAAAACAAGCTCAAGAAAGCAGTTGTAGATCCATGTGACTAAGCAACCTGACTGTTGGGTCAAGCATCTGGAGTCCATGGCACAGTCCTCCACAAATAAACAATCTACACAGAATACATAAAGGGGGAGAGGAAGAGCCGAGAAGAGCCGAGAAGAGGTGGGGAAGGGTGAGTTGCATGTGAATGGTCGGGACCTCGACTTTAAGAAAGAGTGAGGTCAGTAGTTTCCTTCGTTTGTGCCGAGAGCTTACATTCACGGAGACCCGCTCTCTTTTTTTTCCTCCCCTTTTTCTCACAATCAGCAGCAAACTTCCTGAGGGTTAAAGAAGGAAAGGACTTGGCAGCGCTTGCATAAACCCTGGCCGACAGCTCACCAACAAGCTTTTTTTGTTCTTTCACAGTGGCATCAATTCTCCATTTCATCTTCATTTTTTTTAAACAGTACAAAGAAAAACATACATTCTGGAGCTGATCCCTTTAAATCAGGTCATAATTAAAACTAAAGCCTATTCAACTGAATAAATTGTTGAAATTATTACTACATGAAACATCCACTTTTAATCAGACAATATAAAGAAAGGTCCCCCTGCATAATTTCTCTATTATTTTCAAATATAAACAATCTCTTGATTAGCTAAGAGCCAAGCAGATAACAAAGCTCTCTCATCCCTTCCCAGCAGCTGGGTCTTGAGTTGGGTTGTGGAAGTTGTTCCAAACTTTAATCACTGCCAAAGAGCAGGCATGCCCACATCCTCATTCAAGAGGGCCCATTGCAGGAGCCAGTGAATGGGATCAACAAATCTGACCAATGAATGGAATAGCTGTCGAATCCACCGCCGCCCCCGCCTTCCCCTCGCCTGATTGCCCACCAAACCCTGGACCACATTTCATGCCAGAGATCAGGCTTTCAAAACCCACTCTGTGCCTTTGTCTCTCTTACTCACCTCTTAATTATCATTAAGGTCACAGCTGGGGAAGGAGGGAGAGGACGGACAGGGTAGATGGCAAGGGCTACACATGAAACATGGCCACAGAGCGGTAAAAAGGGCTAGAGCTAAAGAGAGCAGGCTGCCAGGACAAGAGGGATAGATGGGAGCTAAAAGTGGGAGAGAGAGAGAGAGGGGGGGGGGGCAGCCTTTGATTACTAAATAACACAGAGACTTGGCCCCTACAGTGGGCACTGGGAGACAAACAGCATTTTTTTTAAAAGAAGGGGGTGAGGTTGGAAACAGAGAGTAAAGGAAGCCCAAATCCAATAACGTATAAATAAACATGAAGGAAAGCAGTTTACAAACAACAAGTGGGCTCTTACCACCAGCAGTGTGATGACAGGATTCCTCTTAATTGGCAGAAAATGTTTGCTAAAGTGACGTTTCCTAGATAAACTGGCCAAACTACAAAAACCAAACTAAAGCTTTTTAAACGTAGAGCTCAGTCAGAATATGTGAGAATATTCAGTCATATCTTTTTCTAACGTCTCTGATCCCTTTTTTCAGTTGATTTACTTTGTAAATAGGAATGATGTAAAGGACATCAAACTGATCTGTTTGAGAAATGAAATACAGAGAAAATATCTATCTGGCTGTATTTTACTGCAGGCTAGGTTATATGCAGCCTGGTATTAGTGGTAGTCACTGTGGTGGGCACCTACTGAAAGATCCCTTAATTTAAAACCCAGAGAGTCCAACCCTCAATACATAAATGATATATTCATATATCTTTAACAATGTTACACTACTCAGATCTATCATTAAGCATAGCCTTTTAAGTAACCACTCACATGACATCCGGCCCGCAAGTCAACCTCAAGTTAAAGATCATACTGCGATCATGTGTTTGAATGATCTGGGGGGGGGCAGGCAAGTAATTAGTTCATGCTGGCTAGAAAAGCAAGTTTGTTTGAGCTAACATGCCCTAATAATCACGACAGTAAACTACATAAAACAAATAGAAACATATGAACCAAGAACTTTAAAAATATGGGTTCTTTTTCAAAGTGTGCCAGGGTTAATCCTGTATGAGACTGCCAGTTTGGTGAATTTGCTATATTTGACTATGAGGCAGCGAGACAGAAGCTATAAAAGCTCGAGGCTTTTTCTCACAATTGTGTTCCAAGGTCTTTAGAGAAAACCTCCCTACAAATCTTTGGTTGGGCAGAGGTTCATATCCAACTCTTTAATAAATGCATTTTTTTTAAAAAGCAAGACGAGAGAGGGGGGGGAGAGATACACACAGGAAACATCTGGGAAGAATCAGGGTGTAGAGGGAAGACAACAAAAAGAAAAAAAAGAAGTGGAAGAGGATGAAGGCCTAACCACAGGTTATAACCAGAACCAAGCTCTACAAGTTCTACACAAAACCACAAAAAAGAGATATACATACACATACACACTCACAGACTGTGAGCCACAGAGCTTATTCAGACTATGTATATATAGTATACAAACATCTCAACACCGTTTACTCTGCTGTTTGAAGTCTTTAGTAGCTGGTGTGAGCGGAAGTTAGCAAAAATATCTGCATCCTTTAGGATCAAAGCCCAGAGGAAATGCCCTTTAATCAAATATCTGCTGAAACAAATGATATATAACACTTCAATTCTAAACCAAAGACTAGCTTGTTCACTGCTCTCTACACGCTGGTGCTGGAGCCTTCAGATTGTCAATCATGCAGAAATACTGATAGAAACAGCACATTTTTGACAGTTAACTGACTGCAGAGACAGAGAACTGAAGAAAATCCTTTGTTATCAAAGCTGGGACAGATCGGATATGGGAACAACCACAACAAGAAGGCAAAGAAAACAACATGTGAACACACACAGACACATAGACACACACAGCTAAAAACAAAAACCCACATCTCCCCTCCTTTCCTCACATGCTCGCTACATAAATAGTTTCATGTAAAACAAGAGGGTAACAATGACTTCACCAGCTACACACACACACACACACACACACACACACACACACACACACACACACACACACACACACACAGCCTCTTTCCATTCTTATTTTCTCCCCATATAGCCTCTAGAGAAACTTCCATGAGAACAACTTACTGATGAGGTTCCCAGTAGAAAGCAGCTGTGGTTTCTGTAAGCTACAGTATTCTGTGCAGCAATGTGATTTACTTGGATTTTGCATTTAGTGCCTATAGATACAGCCGTACATTTGGAGTAAACTGTAATACTGTATACTGTTTCAGCATAATGTAGCATGAATGCAACTGCAGATCTTCAGGCTTTCATTTCAGATTTTCATCGGTGGTTAAAATTCTACAGAGTGAAGAGAAATGGAAATTCAGAACTATTATCAAGTGCATGAAAAGCAAAGATCTGTTCCAACCAGTGACTAACCAGACATAGTTTGCATTAGTCAAGGTCCTCATGTTTTATTGGCGCATTCACAGAACCAACAGATTTTCATGGTATTTCAAAAAAACAACAAAAAGCAAACTAGTACCTAATGAGTCTAATGTATTTTGACTGCTGAATATAAACTTTCCTGTAGTTAAATTCGCCAAACTACAGTCAATGCAAAAACTATGTCAGTGGCTTTTAGTCTCAAGGAGCAATGAAACTGTTAAGGACTCTCATACTGGCGAGTCTACAACTACAGAGTGGCAGGCAGGCACACAGGCAGGAGCAAGCTTCCAGCCCGCAGGCTCCAGTGGACAGGATAAGGCTTCTTTGTTCAAGGCTCCTCCTACTACTCAGAGAAAATGAAAAAGTAGCCCCTGTTGCCTGACCTCACCCCACACAGAAACACACACACACAAGCACTCAGATGATCACAGGTAGGAGAGCACGCATGCATGTGTAAACAACACAGACAACAGCACATGTGCATGCCTGCACAAATCGATGGATACATGTAGACTAGGGCGACATATAAGCACTGGCAGTTATTTCTATTAAGACTTCAATATTCAGGATTTTGAATGCCAAAAACCCTTCAAGAGTCTGTTTTCATTGGGACTTACAGCAACAACAACAAAAAAAGGAAGATTTTATTAAAACAATAAGCCTGCTGAGAAAAACATACTTACGGCCACATTCTTAAAACACACAGGCAGCCGACAAAAGCAAAATGCATTCACTTATCATGCATGTTCATAAAAACAAACATAAAAGCTTCAGCTGGTTCAGAGAGTTTACTTTTTCTCACCACTGCCTGTGCACCTCCCCCTAACTTTAGCTCGTAGTGATTGGCCAACAGAGGAAACTTGAGCGTCCCCCCTTCATAGCCCCGCCCTAATCGGAGGTGTCAGGTGTCTGTGTGTGTTGAGGCTCACAGAAAATATGACTGAACTTAAATACAAAAGAAAGCCAAATACACGGAGCTCGACAAGTCAGCACAGAGGGAAGCAGAGGAAAGCAGAGGAAAGCTGCAATACGAGCAAAAAGAGAGAAAAACCCACACTTTTCAGAAAAAAGAATGAACACAAAAGCTTCTGCATGGGCAGGGACACTCAACAGTGAGCTGAGCAATCAGTGCGCACACACACACACACACACACACACACACACACACACACAAAGAGAAAGCAGACAGACAGAAGCAGCCAGGAAAATCCAACAGATAGAGAAGACGTGGGAACTGCTTCTGTGTGTGGTTTGGGTGGAGTTTCATTTTTCTATTGAAAAAAACCCATTAAGGGCAAAAAATAAAGTGCTGTATGAATGTGAAGGTGAATTGGTGAATAAGGGATGCGGTGTAAAAGTACTTTACTTATTAAGAGTAGAAAAAGCACTGTATTACAGTATTAATCTCCTTACATGGCACAGCTGAAAGGAAAACAGAATGTATGTTAAAAATCTGGCTGCCCTATGTCGTTTTTCATGTGGGGAGGGTGTTTAAGGAGCATTTTTAGCTCAATTTTCTCTGTAGCAACATCCCATCATTTTCCACTTCACTCCAAGTTCTTTGGAAAGGGAGGGGAGCTACACCTAGGAGGAAAGTGTTTCTGGCTGATGCTGGATACAAGTTTCAACAAGTCGTACAGCAGTTACCAGGGGAAGAATGCCCTCAGAGAAACCTCAAATTAGATGACTAAAAAAAGACACATTTGGGATGACCCGAGGGGAACTTGGTTTCCAGGATAAAAAAAAAAAATCTTTGTGAACTAGAAAGGCCCTGGATCCATCTTCAAGCTGCAGCAAGTCAAGTAGCAATTGACTTTTGTTAGGTAGAGATTAACCTGCAGCAGCAGGAGTCAAATGACTTCAAGGTCATAATTAAAATGGAGATTAAATACGGGGATTATGGCTTGCGCCTTGGAAATAATCATGGTAAAACGAGCAGTCTGAAAAGCCCTAAACATCACAGACATTTGCATCAGTTTTATTTTTACAGAACCTTATTCTAGTCAAACAACATGGTTGCACGTAGGAGCTGTGGCGAGGATCTGTGACACCAACTGAAAGCTGATATAACAATAAGTTCTACTGTGCTGCACAACACCGACTTACGAAACTTGTGATACACAAGTAGGAGCACTTGCGTATCGATGCATGCAAAAGTTAACCACACAGTGCATATATAATGTCCCACGTGGAGTGAAAAACAACAGAGACAACAGAATAATACCACAAGCAGTGGTTGGATTTACTGCAGACTATAACCCTAATGCCCACACAACTGCCACAGAATAACAGGAAAAATGATGATTCTGCACAAATGTCAAATCTCACAAGCTAATCCTTTGTTATGTGTCACAAGATTAAAGAACAAAGACCCTTACCCACGGCCTCAGTAGAACAGCTTAATTCAAAAGCCAGATGCAACCTAGTCTAAATAAATAAATAAATAAATACATAAAAATAATCATGACAATAAAACGACATTATCTGTATGCTGCTATAGGTTCTGCAAACAATTATTGCTTCACAAATATCAGTAAATACACAAACACCAGTGTGTAATTTTTTCCATTTACCTGCACTGTGGAGTGTTGGAAACCAGTGCCAGTAATTTGAGATACTTCTGCAGAAAGTTTTTTGAGATTTTAACTTGTTTAATTATTTGGCCAGAGTTCCTCGATTATATCATAACTATTTAATGTAATCCTAAAATCAACATTATTTACTCACTGACTTTTCAGACATACAAACTCATTTGTTGAAGGTTATATTCGCTCTTCCTTGTTGGACTCCCTGAAGCAAAGTGTTTCCAAACAGCTGAACTGGTTTTACCTCTCTTGTTGCCCTAGGGCTCTTTTCTTCATCTTGGCTCGAGGTGAATTAAACCTGCCACAGCATGGCGAGAAATGACTTTGAGCTTTTTAGGGAGGGGTAAAAGGGCCACAGTTGTAAAGGAAAGCGATGCTCTGGAGTCATAACAAAAGAAAAAGCAAGTGCATCAGTGTGAAGCTAAACGTGGCACAAATTTTTTATTTTTCCGGTAACTTGTATTCACAACTACCGGGTGCTAAAACTAACTAATGATGAAAATCAGGTGGTGGGCAACCATAGAATCTATCTACACGTGAACATTTTGTAGGGTTGCCTTTAAAATCTGTTGGTTTCCAAGTCATCTATTCTCAGACACTTGTGGGATATTCCTGTTTGGGCCAGCCATGTACTACATGTAAGTGTGTGACTGTATAAGTTTAGCTATATAATAACAATGCTTGTACCCATTCTCTCTTCTTCCAGTTTCCAGTATATCCAGTCATTCATCTACTGCATCCCACTGTGTCAGTTGAAAACTTCAAGAAGGATAAAAACAATCCACATATTACTTGTATTGTATTTTTGCATGAGGCAGAAATGGGCTTGAATATCTCACTCTTTGGATATTTCCTAATTTTATAGAATATGTAGTTTTCTGCTGTTAAATTTAAATTCATATGAGAAGCAAAAATATAATTTTGCTGCCCCTCTTCCTTTTCTCAAACTGATCATTTTATATACAAGTACAGCCAAAAGTCATAGCACAGCCCTTGTCTAGTCATTTGGCAGACAGCGCTGTGGTTATAAAAATATGTTCGACTTCTGCTCCGCTCCCCACCCCCAACCCCTACCCCCAGCATCTGGACATACTGACATACTGCACGCAAAACTGTACAGCTCTACCCAGCACCCCTTGACTCCATCTGCAATAAATAGCAATGGCTGGAGTCCTATAACTGACTCAGTCATGTCTGACTCTGACTCGACTGCCCCTGGCCCGAGCAGTCCTTCACCACCACCAACCAGGACTCTGGAATCTCTGGTATTGGGAATGCGGGAACGACGTGAGTAATCGTTCTGTTGTGCAGTCCCTGTTTCCAAGCTTCCAGAGATCTGCAGCTATAAGGAGTTTGTAACACTGTTGAGCGAGCTAAACCTGGCATAGCACCCTGGAGTCCAAACTAGGACTTCTAAGATAGCGCCACTGTGCACCGTTTCACACATGGATGGCAGAAACATGTGCATTGACAGGAAAAACTGACTTCTTTTAAAGGCTCAAGGCACCAAGGGTTCTAAATATGCATTCTGGACATGTATGAAAAACAGTTCAGTGTACATGGCCATTCACTGGCTACAGTGTTTGTTTGTATATGAAAGAGACAGATGGACATGAAAGAGAAATGTGCACTGATAGCAAACTACAAGTTCATTTTCATTTCCAGATACTCATAAAAAAGTGAGCATCTGGAAATTATAACTCCAGATGTTTATAAAGCTTTTTATTAGAATGTGTGTGTTGTTCAGTTGCATGTGTATATGTACTCACAGCTGCGCGGCAAACAGTCGACTCATCTTTGCCACGTGCTCGTTTTCATCCATGTCGCTGTCCCCCTGATCACCACTCAGCTTCCTCTTAGTGGGGCTGATGGGAGGAGGACCCGTCCTGTGGCTGGAGGAGGAAGATGAGGAGGACGATGATGAAGACGAGGAGGAAGACGACAGGGACAGGAGTCTGGGGTCTCCTCTTAAAGCTGCCTCACCTGAGGAGGAAAGACATCAAGGGAGGAAAGAAAGACAAGACAGAGGGTTATTAGTGCTGCTGACACCGTGTTCCAAAACACGATCATTTAGAAGTCTGAATGAGTTTGAGATTGCTCCACTGCTACACAAACTCTGAAAGACGAAAACATCAAGTGAAACGCAATACAACATTAGGAGAATGTGTCTTAGAAAGTTTGCAAAAGAACTGCTGCCTGCACTTTTGTCATTTTCAAAAATGAGACTAGAGTGACAGTTGTGCGGCTGTGGTCACCTCACGTGGTTAGCTTTACTAAGATTACTGTAAAATAAATGTCAATTATAGTAATTAGCCTAAATTATAGCATTTAAAAGCAGAAGGTGACTGCTGTATTGCCACTTTAAAACAAGGTGTCTACCGCATGACAACGTTACAGGCTGTGTCTGGGGTTTTGTTGACTTATACAGTTTGCTGAGAGAGGCACAAACCTCTGGCATAAAAGAAGGAGTATCTGGTGAGGAATGTTTTGAAAGAAATAGTTGCGGATGGATTCTGCATATGTTTGTGTGTGGGGGGGGAACTATTTCTCCCTCTGCAGCCTTATCCCTCGTACAGAAGGCCTACAGAGTTGTCAGTGAGTGGGAGTTTAGAGCAAGAGAATCAGGAAAACTACCACTGGCTCTGTCTCAGCATGGGGACTTTCCACTGCTTCTGCCTCATGTATCTGTCTGACTTTACCCAAACAACACTGAAAGGCCTACACTAAAACTCCTAGTCCAACTCACATAAAAACGAATTAGTTACAAACACTTGCTAACTGTTAGTTCATCCTTCATTTCAAATTATTTTGTATAACAAACCAATCAGTATTGATTAGATTTTGGAGAAATATTCTTCCTGCATTTGTAGAACCAAAAGAAAAACCCAAAACACACACACACACACACACACACATTAGTACTAAGTAGCAGGACATTAGACATTAAACTGAATTCTTATAAATATTTATTCTTCTTTTCTTCAGATGAATAAGGTCATAAAATCTGGTTGAAAGCCAGTTTAAACTAAAACTGAGTCATTCAGAATGCGGCAGCAAAAACAGCCTAAAGACTATGAAAAGACTTTGTTCCTCCACCATTCCTCCATGCATGTTAAGCTTCATGGCCTATGAAACACAGCTGCAGCTCCTCCCCTCACCCTCTCTCTCTGGCATGTTCCTTCTCGTGCTACTGTGTACCATGGTAACAAGGGTGACATCATCTTTTTTGGCAGGGAGAGGGATGGCAATAAAGGAAGAGAGACTGACACCACACTGTCCAATCAGCATCCAGGACTCGCTTATCACCGAGTAAAGTGCTCAACAAAAGAGTGAATCTTCGAGCGGCAAGACATTCGACCGTATGAGGTCAAACACTGTTGACCTGCGCGACAATACAACTGCTATTGCACACTAATATATACTAGGTTGTCATTCAAGTGTAACTATCTGACACGACTGCAGCCTTTGAGAATTTTATTATATCCGCTTTTTCTTATGAGTTATAGAAGATGATTTCACAGCCTAATGCAGTTTCAATACACACTAATTCTGCATTAGTCATTTGTGTTTTTTTAAACTAGGGATATACAACAAACTGGAAACTGGTTGCATAGTTTTCCTTCTGAAACTAACCTGCATTGGTGATAATCTGAAGGACAATACAATGAAATCATTTTCTGCAATTTATTCTCAAATCAAAAGGCAAAAAGAAACAACAAGAGCAGAAGTACTTACACATTAAGTTTTTATATATTTTTACACACAAGAAATGTATCTACATATAGGAAGTGATTATTTATAGTACATTAGTTTAAATATTTGTTCACTAAATACATTTCATTTACATTAAACCAGCAGACAATTAGTGGGAATAGAGCCGTAACCCAGAAGCCAAACTCCACTCTGTCTTTTCCCCTCTCTGAGTTCATTAGGTCCACAGGATCAAAGCCTATTTCTCCTGATAGAACTTCAAACAGCTTGGATCAGGATGAGATTGGATTACAAACTGAGGCGAGCTTCCCTCTCCCTCGCTCTCATTTCCGTCTCTCTCCCCCTTCCTCGCTCTGTCCTTCCCCCCTCTGTCCTTCCCCCCTATCTGATACTTAAAAAAAGATGGTTCCTAGCATGTCTTCTCTCTGCAAAACAGCTATGTAGTTATTTTTAGCTGAATTTCTCAGTAAATTGAACTTGGCCCTCTGGCTGCCTTTATTATCCGAGTCCATGGAGGTTTTACACTTTAAATACTAAAAAGGAAATACAAAAAAAGCTCTTCCACAAAAGTCCTGGACTGTATGAGACTGACCTGAACTTTTAAACCCGATGTTAGATTTGTTTGACCTCTGATATGAAAATGGAGGCACACAGACAGACAAAGAGAGACAGAAGAGAGGGGAAAAAAACACAGCGCAAGTAGGTGGTTTAGCATAATCAGGTGTCGCATGTCACATTGATGACACATCGGAATAAATCCCTACATGGCTCACATTAAAAAAAAGATTCAGTGTCCTATTTGGCAACATGGTTTTAATTCTTAGCTAAACTACTGAGCATCAGAAATGCAGATTGCTTCAAGGTCAGCTATGATGTGTTAGGGAGATTTTAGACAACTATATCAATATAAAGACTGCTGCTTATTAAAACTCTAGATTCTATTCTCCATATTTTGGTTAAAATAAAGAGATGAGATGATGTTTTGTGCTGTGCTTCAGTGGTCAAGAGTCTAAGTTGCAAGTAACAGCAATACAAAACTAGTTATCTCTAGTTCATCAGATTAACTAACTTAGAGAAACAACCTGGACCTAGTGACCCTCTTATTGGCTTTTTAACCCACCAAAGTTGTAACTGCCTTCACAGTAAATGGTGGTTAATGTTAACTCTACAACATAATTCCTTCACTTTGCCTGTGTTGCTTCACCATGGCGTCACTTCTTTGCTGCCTGCTGCGTACATTAGACAAAAATGATGTTGTATGATGTCAATCATGAATTAATTTTTTTTGTTGGTAAAAATAATTGCTTTGGCTTAACTTTGTTTTTAATTCATAGATCTGCCACCAACTGCATTTTACAGTTTACAAAAATCCATATTTTGCTCTAAATCCAAATGAGCCATTTGAACCACTGAGCCCTGAAATCTCTTTACAATTAATTAGGTGACAGCCCCAGGAAGCTGTGACCACTGCTTGTCGAAGGACTACTTATAAACATTTAAGGAACTGTTTAAAACTCATATCAACTGAGCTTCAAGTTTCTGAAAACTAAAGGGGTGTTCAGTGAAGTAGGAACATCATAGAAAGTCGATGACATTCAGCAACTTCAAGCAACGATGCAATGGGTCCCAAGTTTTGTCAACTTTAAGGCAACTGATTGAAGCAACTAGCAATTAGAGTGAATGGTATTGCTGATTGGCAAAGGGGGCAAATATATTAACAAGTTATCCAGGCAACATTAGCCTAGAATGTCCACAAGCAACCAACCACAGGCAGCAAAGCGACAGCCAATGAGCAAGTATGGTGATAGATCAAGTTTTGGGGTTTTTCTTTTGGCAAGTCCTATCCCCACTTCAGCCAGTATGTCACATGTATGTCTTTAGTATGTATTTAGTTTGAACATGCAGCACATCGAACATGGCTGGAGAGCATAGAAGGAAAGTGTTGAACAATGTCAGTCGCAATCAATACGTTGTTTAACCAATCTAATTTCAATGCTGTGGGCCCACTGTCAATCAGCTCTGGCCAATCACAGATAAATCATTACTGTTTTTCTCCTGTATATGCTCTTATGGCTTCTTTTCTAAACAAACATAAAGCAGAAAGATATCTGAGGAAGTTTAGAAATGACAACACTCTGTAGTTTTTGTCAATATGGCAGGCCCAAAACTACAGTATTGGTGGGCTTCAGATTTGAATGACTACTATATGGAATTTGTTATGAAGCACACAGTTGCATACAATTTATGACATGGCATAAACTTCCAAATTTCACATGTTCATCTGTCCAACCAGGAGTGAATACACATTTTTCTTTAACTCACAACTGAGATGAATTAAGTCATAAAGACAGAAAGGAAGACGATTAATGTCACTGTAGGTTCACGTCACCATCATAGCACATTAATCACCCCTGGTGAATGAACTTGAGGTCAGAATCTGTTTTTCCATGAGCCAAGTCAAGACCCTGAATGATGTCAACTTTTTTCTAATTCACTACAGCTGATTTGATTTGTTTGTGCGAGAATTCACTAAACTTTGTCACTTACACAGTCTGTAAAAACAATATATCTACCTGCACAACAAACAAAATGTTCAACCTGAGATTACCTAGAAAGTCACACTAGTGCAGACTATCCAAGCTGTTCATCCATTATTACTTTTTTTTAGCAGCTATTCAGTTGCATTATAGGCAGGGTATTCAAATGTCCCATCTGCATTAAATGTTGTTATATGTCAGTGATAATACAGGAGCAGTAATAGCTTCACAACAGGACAGTATACAAGTAGGAGCGTGATTGTTGGGAGATGATGGTGTAGTTTGGCTCATGCATATAGTAACAAGTCAGAACACCCACAATATCACAAAGCACTTCTATCCCTTTCTTGGCTCAACAAGTTTGAACATGAGGGGCTTTCCTTTTCCCCTCTTCACTGATAAGCTTGTCCTTTTAGCTTTGTTTTCTTATCATGAAGCTCAGATTTTAGCTCAGTCAGCTAAAAACCATACACTCTCTCTCTCTGTGTCACACACAGACACACACACACACACACACACACACAAACAAACACAAAGAAAACCAAACTGATTGTCTTAATAGTGCAGAGATATGCTTCCAGACACAAATTGTATCCAAACCAGCAGATATATAAGCACAAAAATACCACTACAAAGATTTTATCTCCATCTTTACTTATGTCATTTTATTTAGAGTTAGATGACAGCTGTGAGGAGTGAAGCTTCGTGGTGACACAAACGCTCATATTCTGACTAGCAAAAATCCCAGGCCAGTGGCAGGCTTATCTAATACACCTGCACTGTGCAGAAATGCCACCAACATTTCTCAATAATGGCATGTGAGCTCAAGCTTCTGAGAACAGTTTGAAGAGTCATGTGCCTAAATGCAAGCAACAGCCAAACAGGAATTACAGCAACCCAAGGCTTTTTTCCCCCTTTCCCCAGAAGCATTAGAAACAGATAAAAACACAACAGAAGCCTTAATCACATGCCAAACCGCAAAAAAAAAACAAAAAAAATGTTTCTTCTGCTGCTGGTAGCATAGATTCACCAACAAACAAAACAGAAACTAACGTCTGTTTTAATCATATGCCATTGTGCAAATGTGCAAAATGGGTGTCAGTCACAGCATATTTAAAAGGAGCTCCATTACAAGTTAATTATATGTTAAATGATGAGGCAAGCTGAAAGGCACAATAGCAGGGGAAAGAAGCAATGTGACTAAAAACAGGAGAAGAAAAGCCTGCCAACCGGTTTATTACGAAAATGCGTTGTCTTTGTGTTGCTGCTGCTTTTGTAATAGTAAAAAATAAGATAAGGACTAATTATCAGTCACCACGTTATCTACCGGTCTCAAAGATTTACTTTCTATCTATAAAACATATTACTTTATGTTCATGTCATAAACTGAACATTTTGACCTGACTTCAGCTTGACAGTTGAGGACCTGCTGGTGAAATTAAACAAGGACATGCTTTTTTTCCACTCTTGGATTAGACCCTGCTGCAGCAGAGGCCAGCGACAGGGCAGAGGGAAAACTTGGACATAGCCCCCGGACAGACAGGGTAATCTTACAAAGCCTGACAGGAGACGAGAGCCTTTTCAAAGTCAGGCAGTTTGCAGAGATTTGGAATCTTCTACTCTCTGATTTCATGACAAAGACATAATATTGAATGAAAAAGTTACCTTAATGCCTCGAAATGACTTGCAGCCCACAGAAAGAAATCTCTGCACTTGTAAAATTAAACAAAGATTAGCAGCTGCAGCTTACAGCGTGCTGTAGGGGGTCAACCCCACAAAACAAGATGTGAAAATCTTGGACACATCCGTTCATCTGAATGCAAACGGCATGAATAATAGGACACCACCAGAGAGCTCGCTAACTAGTAATACTGTGAGTCAGTCTTATGAGAGACCATTAAATGGACACACGACTTACAGACAATTAATTCAGCCTTTTCTTTCTAGATTTTTATTCAATAATAAAAACAATGATATGACAAGTGAATAAATGCACTTCCAGCCATTCAGAAAAGGACAAAATAGAAAGAGCGCTTACACCAACTCTACGTAAAATGCGTTACAATCGGGTTAAAAACAAATGCTGAAAAACACTATTCAAGTCTGTATTCATAAATCGTATACAAGCTAAATCAATGCTCATGTGTACAGAGTGGCACGTTTTATCTACCGTGCTTGCGGGAAGAAACGACTAACTAGCGAAGCAGCGTAAACTGAGGAGAAAACTTCGACCAGCTACGTCGTTAACGTTAGCTCGCAGCGTAACGCCACTCCGAAGTTTAAAAACAGCCGTACGCCCACAAACAGCCCAAACCCGCTAGTTTACCTTCGTAGCAGAGAATGCCAATGTTGTTGTTCATCTTGTCCAGGTACTGGTAGTTCAACAGGTCCATTTTCATTAGTAGCATTTATCGGGCTTTAATTAAAAACAAAGGGGGGAAAAAGAAGACCAGCTTGTTTTCTCCCTTCTCCTCTGAAGCGACGGTAAAAAAGCTAAAGGCCCAGCCTCTAACTTTACTTCTGTGGAAACTCAACAAAATTTAACCCGTGTGGAAAGTGATCTCAGTAAGTTTACTTTTTGAAATACGGGTAAGTATGCAGCGGTGACAAAGCGCAAAGAAATAAAATAATACAAAAATATGAGTAGCGTCAGTTCTCCTCACAGCCAGCTGTAAGTCGACTGCACTGACACGCAGGCTATGCTTGGTATGACTCCTATGCTTCACCAGCGGTTTCCACTGTTGCTGAGAGGGACGCACTGGGCATGCTCGCTAAATCCGTAGAGCGCCTCAAATATCAGGGATATTTTACGCACAAGATCAGCCTCTCCAAACACATCCAGAGAGAAAGCGAACGACGGGAGGGAGAGAGAGAGAAAGACACACACACACACACACACACACAGAGAGAGAGAGAGATACCAAAGAACAGCAGCAATCCCACATTAAGTCTTTAGGAAATAAATACTACAGTTAGTAAATATTTTAAGTCCAAGTGCTGTAGTTTGTTGTTTGCTTGTTGTTGTTTTTTTGTTGTTGTTTTTTTGCAAAAGGTTTTAAATATGCAGACGTGCAATCCAGGCACACTCCATCTAGGAATACAGAGGTCATAAGATTACAGTTGCCATAAAACATTTTTAGGTCGATATAACCTTATTTGAGGGAGAGTGCCTTACTCTGATGACGGTGCTTTACTGTAAACGTTTCTATGTGTTGTAATAGTACAGGGAGACCTGCAAGATGTCAGGAAATTAGGAGAAAAAAACTTGAATAAAAGGGTAAATAAAAAAGAAACTGTGCTTCAGTTTTTGGAGATGCTGTTCATAAAGCGTTTTGTTTACAGCCAAGATACTTTCCTACCAAAATATTGTTTTTATTCATCTGTCAACAACATACTTTATAGCACAGAATATATTGTTTTTCATTCAGGAGAGGCCATGAGGATAAAGAGCAGGGATATGCATTTTCTAAATTGTCTGTCGGCGTTTATTTGGACAAAAACACAAGCAAACTTTAGTGTGTTGATTTAAAAAAAAAAAAAAAAGGTTTAAAAGGGCCTGGTGGGCCTCTAACATCCCGAGTGGTCCTCTTCTGCCTCCTAGTGTTTGACGTTTGACATGGGCTAAGATAGATAGATAGATAGATAGATAGATAGATAGATAGATAGATAGATAGATAGATAGATAGATAGATAGATAGATAGATAGATAGAT